GAACCTACTATAGATTAGTATACCTAAAAGCTTAGATGTAGCTTCTAATGAAATGACTAAGGAGAAATATGACCACGAATAGAATCCCTCTGTATCCTTAGCAAACAACCGAATTCGATTTTAGAGTACCTTTAATTTTGTTTGAAGAGGCGAGTGGAAGGGATTCGTAAGTTGGTCCCACCGGAAGCTGTGGGAGGTTGCTTTGGAGCTGTAGTTGTAGATTTGTGCGGCTCACCGCCCTGCAACCCCGATAAATCAGTGCTGAGTTTTCGTCCGTCATGACGGGCATCGTCAGAGCAGGACACCATGGTTAACGATAATTCACCAAAAACACGAAGACAAGAAGGGTCACCGGCTTCAAACCTACTTCCTTCTTAATTTCCAATTTGGTCCACTTATCTTTCTCATGTTTTGGTTGGATTTCCTATGATTTGCTCATAAGTCAATTTAAGTGGCTACAAATGAAGCTGCATCCTCACCTAAAACACGAGAAGTACCAGCGAGCAAGAGGAGGAGGCTTGATTAGGCTGAAATTTGATTTTGACTCTCACATCACACACATTTCAAGAACAATGTACTAACACAACACGTGTGCAATGGGACGCAATCACATGCTGTAATATTGCAGGATCGAAGGCATGAGTGTTTTAGTAGGGTGTAGTTGTTCGGTTTCAATTGCATCCATTTCACGCGTCATTTGTAGCAACTTAACTTGACTTATGAGCAAATATAGAGGCAAAGCATAGGAAATTCAGCCAAAACATGAGATACAAATTGAAATATAAGAAGCAAGTAGGCTTGAAGCCGGCCACCTCTCTTGCCTTCCTGCTTTTGATGAATCATCGTTAAGCATGGCGTCCTACTCTGACGATGTCCGTCACATGACAGACGAAAGCTCAGCAAGTATTCATCGGGGTCGCATAGCGGTGCGCTGCGGACCTATTCGCACAAATCTACAGCCACAGCTCCAAGGCAACCCCTCACAGCCTCCGGTAGAACCAACTTACGAATCCCTTCCACTCGCCTGTTCAACGAAATGAAAGGTACTCCAACATGAATATATTAAGGGATTCTTCAAAAGCGAGTTCTTCTACGAAACGAATTCCATAACTTTGCTATCTAGAAAGCAAATGAGGTAGCAAAGGGGTCCCGCAAAAAACCAGGGTTGTATTCGGGTGGAGGGCTTCTTCATTGTCCTCGATGAGACTATTGCCTGGTAAAATAGGTAAACTCGAAAGAAGGTGTTGATCCGCAAAAATAGTCTTAGAGGTATGTTTTTTTGATTAGAACTATGAGTTATGAAAAAAACAAGTTAGGATTATTTGACTCAAATTTTCTGGGAGTATACTTGGGTCAGATAAGGCAGATTGCATCAGCGATTACTGTATCCTTTTATAAAGCAACATCCATAAAATGGTTACTGAGCTTGGTTGAACATGTGAGTATGAGTTTAGGATAGAGACGAAAGAATGCGTCCCAGAAGAAAATCAGAAAGGCATTTTGAATATGTCCAATTAATTGGCATTAAAAAGTTGGAGGCAGATTGGCATAAGTCGTACAGCAATCGGCCAGCTCAACAGAAGAGTGTTTAGAGTCACATCGTCGGCATAAAATAGTTCACAATACTCCAAGAGTTTAGACCCTTTGTCCAGGAGCAAGGTTTTCATGTGTCTCTGTACAAAATGCAAGCTTAAACTTATCCTTACTGATAGACTAACGCGAATGAGATAACTAAGTCAGTTAAGCGTATCTATCCAAAAAGCTGACAGGAATGTTCACATAATATGATAAGATTGGAGAAAGAAATGAAAGGTCACTGATAATTTATGAATACCCTACAGTTGAACCTGACTGTTGTAATCGTATCTAAACAGGACTATTGCTAGTCATATAAAAAGATAATATAAAGAACCATTATACATCGTTTTAGTAATATAAAATTTATAAAATTTAAGTTGACTCATAATGTCTATAAAAAGTATAAGCAAAATCGATCCAATATGGATAGCTTGCCAAGTAGACCCTCCTTTAGCCCCATAGCCGGCGAACTCGCCGGTTCCTGTAGACAAACGGGTGAATAAACGCCGTCTGAGTCGAGCGGCTCGCTTCGTGTTGAAGGAGGGCACGGGAGAAGGGGGATAAGAGAGCTGCATATTAAAGGGAGAGAATTGGCTATCGACTGCGTCTCCTTCATCATCAGCAAAGAGGCTCCGAGAAACTCGGGAGTCGGAAAGGAATAAAGTAGTTCCTTGTAAGCTTCTTGCCGAAGCGAAAGATCTTGTAGGGCCCGAAAAACGCTCCGGTACTCTGCAAGTGGAACGTTGCGTCTTATATCATGACCAAAGTATAACGTGGATGAAGACATCATTAGGTAAAGATAGAGCAGAACAAACAATTGAATAAGGCAATTAGCATAAAGAAGTCAGTTTTATTATTCAAAATAATATAGGGAAGTGATGAGCCCATGAATATGGTATTTAGATATATTTGATAGCGCAATTACTACTCATTATTTATAGGTCTTAGAAATGCTAGATTATAAAATACCGTTTTCTCATCAAAATACGATTTTAATGAATGTGAAAGGAGTTTAGAATATGCCAATTTCCTTGTTAAAAACCTTAGATAGTACCTCTACATCTATAGCACAAAACAAAGCAGATATGGAGATCCCAAGAGCTGTTAATGGACAGAAATATTAATATTTCTAGTACCATAAATATTCACTACTACCGGCATGATTAAATCAGTAATAAAGCATCAAAATTACAAAAAAGTTTTATTTCAACGAAAAACCTCTCCACAATTTATGAGATTATATAGTTTACAAAGATTATCTCGGATGGGATGCAAAACGGTAACTGCAATATATTCAGGAATTTCTTACAGAGTGAAGTAAATATTAGTAAAAAGAGAACCGAATTTTAAGTTCATGAGAGATAAATTAAATGAGTCTATATTTTTTTAATTGGCTAAGTGCCTTTTTGAGTAAAGTAATTAACCCAATATTAGTCAAGAAACAAAATATTTTTTGGCATTTTGTATGGCCGTTCCTTACACATACAATGGATATCTGGCATGGGTACAAACAAAATAAGACAATATGAGATGTATTCATCTATTTCGTTTGAGGTGATGAAGGACGAGTAGATGAATTATCTCACAACGATATAAGCAGAGCCGACGCTTCCAATGACATGCTTTTCCAAAAGGTGTTCTCATCCCGGATGGACTGCAGTTTAGACCGCCCCCAAGCCTTATCAGCTTCCGCAGCGAAGTCGAAATATGACAATGCAATGTGCAATCTCGACACGTCAAAAACTACGCCACATTGCCGCGAGTGCCCATGGGTCATAAGGAAGATGTGGATTGCAAGTAAGTCCAGGAATTTTCCCATAGCACATTCTTTGGTAGGAGTGTCGGTTAAGCAAAGTTATAAATACTATGAAAATCTACTAAATTACTTATTTTTCGTTCATACGTAGGGTTTCAAGCCTTAAACGAAATAGGCTAAATACATCTCATATAATAGATTTACAGGTAGACTTTAAACCTTAAATATGAACGAAAAATAAGATAATCACATTAATTTATGTGTAGTTGTAGTATCACGATTCATTATAAATAAATTAAAAATAGCTAGAGATCTTTTAGCTATCAAAAAATTAAAAATATGGACCAAAAGGGCTTGAATGAATATTAAATATAAAACTTATAAAGCATAGAGTTTCTTAAAATGGAAGAGATAAACAAAGATTTAAATAAACTAAACCATTATTTTTTGAGTCTAATGCATTTAACGCAGGAGATAGTGCGACACTATTCCTGTCTATATATTATAATATTTTATTTTATACCAAGTACAAAGATTTTCCGAATGCTTTATCTTGAAATTTCACAAGATTCTAGTTTATATATAGTGAAAAATTCTATGCAAAAAATTATTATTTTATAAACCAATAACCACATATGAGTTCTCAAATCGAGCATATTTTAGGGATTGCATTAAGGTGGAAAAAATAGGAAAAATCAAAAATTATTTGTCGGAAGGTAAATGATACATTTTAAAATAAAACTCGATGAAAAAAAAGTGAGCTATATCTACTCGTGAAAAATACATAAATATTGAAACACACTAAGCCGATATGAATCAGCTTATTTAACCAAAATAAGTCACTACTGTCCTGGGTTAACCCATTTAAATTAAGAATTGGCTTTGTAAACTTCAGATACATTTTGCTTATTCAATTTCCTTCTTACGAATAAATGAATCTCGATCTTGGAATTGCAGGTGTCTCTTCGGTGCATATTTGAGCTACTTAAATCTACTCACAACTGGTACATGTCTTGCGAATGAATAAAACTATATAGAATCTCAAAATGGTTCCCATGCAGACAAACCGATTTTAATATCATTTAGTTTACTTACTAGTTTTAGTTCAGGATTAAACCTCAAAATAACTTAATAACTCCTCTTTTTCGATATGTCGAGCCCTCTGTTTTGGTCGCACAGGTCTGACCTCGACTTCGTAAATGGTCTTGTTGTCAGGGCGACCTAGTTGAACGCATCCTGTCCGAAGTCCTCTGTTATAGTATCTATGTTATTCCCTATCATCATCGTAATGGAGTCTGACCACTCTTAGCGCCAGGCTACAGCTCGCCAAAGAGACAAGCGAAGTCAATTCCTTGATCAACTTTCTGCCAAATGGTTATGCTATAATTCCTGACGCTGACCTTGTACATCTATCTACTCCATATCCTCGTATCTCCTTCCCTCACTATCACAACTTATGACTTGTTTATATTCGACTTCACTATGGGTGTACCCTTTTAGGCGAATTTAGTGGGGCGTCAATACACCTTCTTGTTTACCTTGCACCACCTCTCTCTCGATTTGCTGATCCGATTACAACCTCCTATCCGAATCTCCCTCATGGTCATGAAGATCCGTTTCTTATCTCCTCTTGTTGGCTGATTTCACTCAGCTCCAGTTACAGTATACGTTTTACTCCAGACGTAATTTCTCATGGTCTGCCACAAACCTGGTGTGTCGTACGTATACTGTGGATTCAATAAGAAAAGCTCCTAGGCCCTTATCCCCATTCTTGTAAATACAAGGTATTGTCTATATGGTTCATCTCTATGATTTAATCCGTGTACCCTGAGCAAATTGTGGAAACATATCTCTGGACTCCTACTTAAATTTTAGTTCTTATATTTTCAATCAAAATACACATCCATATATATATATATATATATCAATATAATTTTTTTTTTCAGGAGTAGATATTGGTCACATTAGTTTTATATAAAAACATCTCAATTTCCTTGTAGAAATATAATCTCTTTCCACAATTGATTCTCGGTTTTTCCTATTTTTTCACCTTATTTAATGCAATCACCACAATATGCTCGATTTGCGAACTCCTATGTGATTTTTAGTTTACAAAATAGTAATTGATTTGCATAGAATTTATCACAGTGTATATAAACTAAAATCCTGTAAAATTTCAAAATGAAGCATTAGGAAAATCTTAGTATTTGGAAAAATATAAAATTATATCATATCTAAACAAGAATAATGTCGTATGCTGTAATAAAACGGAGGCTTAAAATACTTAATAAAGAAGAGTAACAAAGGAAGATCGTAGTATTTTAATAATAACACTGACTTCCTCATCATTATAAAGTACAATTGGCCAGAACATTGAGAATAGATGAAAGAGCCTGATATAATGCAAGATCCACGACAGACGGTCATAGCTACATATTACCAAGAGATTGAGTTATGTATAAAGGATTATGAATATATCGTATATATGAAGACCAAAATAGTCAGGAAATGAGAACGGGAATTACAGGCTCTTACGCATCCTGATTTCATAAAATCAAAGAGTTATTTGATGTTTAGCAGCGGCCAATTGACTAGCGAGTGGGAAAAGAAGGGGGAGCAGAATGTAGGTCAGGAGCCCTGCAAACGGTATCTGGTAAAGGTGGTGGAGATGAGTACGCTTCACTAAACACACTTGTAGCGATACGCTTAGGCGACATTGGAGGAAACGAGAGCGCAGAGATTGTGTGAATAATTGGATGGGTCATATGAAGTAGGGCTAAGAGAAAGAGATGCAGCACTAGAAGGTAGAACAAAAATAGGGGCGAGTGATGATTAAACGGAAAATTGATCAAGGGGATTGCCTTCACTTGTCACTTTAATAAGTTGCAACCCTATGCTTACGATAGCGTCTCTTACTGACGATGCCGGCGAAGCGTTTGGGAATGTACCCAGCCAATGGTTTAAT